ATATATTTTTTTTTTTTTTTTTTTTTATATTGTTATGGAATTGTTTTGTATTTTTTAAGATGAATAAACTTTATACCATACCATGTTCATACTACGGCTGCTCAATCATAGAAAAGAATTTCACAAAATAATCAAATTGTATAATTGGCTTCAGATCACCTCTAACGATGAATGACTTATAACCGAAGATATTCACCTTAAGCCCCACAAATACATGGAAGCTAACCATGCTAACTCTGCTAGCAGCTGTTACACTTCCTGTGGTCTCACACTGGGACCATCAGTAAAGTGTTTGGTTTGTATTTTAATGATTACATGTAAACGATTATTATTTATCTACCACAAATTTCACAGGTGAACAGTTTCTCACCTGTGTGACTTTTCTTGTGTCTCTTCAGTTCTGGACTGTCCACATCGTCTCCATGTTCTCTGGTTTGAGGACGTCTCTCATTCTGTGTCAGCTCCTCTTCTCTGCTGGATCCAGGATCTTCAGTCCTGCTTCCTTCCTGATCTTGAGTCTCAGTTTCAGAAGAATTCTGAAGGAGTTGTTCCCAGTTTGCTTCTGGTTCCCAGTGATCTTTTTCCTCAAAGCCAACAGTCACCATGAAGGTCTCAGCTGCCAGCTTCACACCAAGCTGCTCTTCATCCTGACTGATGCAGAGTTCCTCCTGTTCCTCTTTCATCCGTGGAGGTTCTGGTTCTTTAACTTGTGATTCTGGTTCCTTCTCTGGAAGGTCTGGTTCTTCCTCTGGAGGTTCAGGTTCCTCTTGTTGTAAATGTCTGGGTTCCTCCTGGTCTCCTGTTTTCTGTGGTTGATGATCTCCTGCTGGAGGTTGTGGTTCCTCCTGGTCCAATCCAGAGTTCATCTTGTGGTTCCTGAGCTGCTGCTCAGTGGGAACCTCCAGCTCCTCACGTCTCCAGACAAAATGCTGCGGGAGTTCTGGACCAAGAGACAAAGAAATGACGTCAGTGGACGTTTAAATTACTGATGAAATTAAAGAGGGAATCACTTTCAGACGCAACACGGACATGAAGATTCTTCTTCTTTGATTTAGTGAAAAACGGATTTAGTTTTTAGTGAAAAGGCCAGACTTCAGGGGTATCTGAGGCAGGCTTGAAACACAAGAGTCAGGGTGGCTTCTGGGTAATACCAGATGGCTAGGCCTCAGACTGACGAAGCCTCTTGGATGAGGGGCGAAACGTTTCTTTTTAACAAAAAAACGAAGTCCAGATGACATGATTCAACCTTTTTTGTTGTTCTAAGATGGACGTTTCAGTCCATCGTGTTCTGGTGCTAGAAGGTCAACGGATGTCGACAGGAAGTCACAACTGACTAGTGGATTAATAATTAATAATCAGCCCAGTTCTCATGTGATTTATGCAACTTGTTTTTAAAGTTTTCAGATGCTGCAATTTGATGTGTGGGGTTTAGTCGTGAAGAGAAGGTCCAGTCGTGACAGGCAGGTTCTGTCGGGCAATTAGAACGTTTTATTGACTGGCAGAGGTTGGAGTCCAACGAGCAACAGGTTTTTATTTATGGACGATAATTTCTGCTTCATTTGAGTTCTTTTCAATTTCCCTTTCAAGGGTTGACCTAAAAATATGTGCACTTCAAATTAAAGAATCACAAAATACACCTGATGGTTGCAGCTCACATTTATTCAAAGGCAATATCTCAGACCTTCTGTCAGGTGTTGGTCCGGTCTATCTCAGACCTTCTGTCAGGTGTTGGTCCGGTCTATCTCAGACCTT